CCGAGCGGGACACTCACCCAGGCAGATGGGCGGCTTGCCCGTCCAGCTGCCATCCGACTTGCAGGTGCGGTGCTCGGAGCCGCCCTTGAGGGAGAATCCCTCCTGGCAGGAGTAGATGAGTGTGTAGCCCATGGAGGGCAAGTCCAAGGCCCCGACGTTGGCGTGTGTTGGTGTCTCTGGCTGCCTGCAGTGGTGGGCTGGGCGAGAGGAAAGACACTGTTGGACCTGAGATTAGGGGTTTCAGAGGGTCTTCTCAACCCTTCCCTTGTTCCTTTCCCTTCCCTCACAGGCCCTTTCTAGCCCAGAACCCTCCTCCCCAGTCTTCCCCCAACCCTAAGCTCCTGACCTCCAAGACGGAGGTCAGGCGGACCTTAGCCTACTCAACCCTGGAGGAGCCTAAGCCTGTAGCACTTTTCCTGAGAGGATGGAGTCATTGTGGTCAAAAGCCCGATGTCTCCACTCCGGGCCTTGCGTGGCCTCATGGTTGTTTCTGCTGCCATAGGATAGTTTTTTTCTTTGTTAAGATGCAGGGATTGCCTTCCCATACCAGAAAGGCATTGTTCAAAAAATAAAAATTTCAGATTAATGTGATGGGGTACCAATGATTAGGTTATATCATTTATATTTCTAAGGTAAAGTTCAAGTTGTACTTGAGGCCCTCATCCAGGGGGTGTGCTGTATACCCCCACACTGTGCCCACTAGGTGAGATAGAAAGGCTTTTGTGTGGAAACATTTTCTGGGAGGTCCCAAGGAGTAGAGACTACCAATATTGGCCCAAATGAGAAGTCGTGAGCTCCCTGTCATTCAGCGCATTCAAGCCTGTCCTGGACACCCGGTGGCTGGGGCAAGAGGAATTTTCTCAGGGAGCGGGTGAAGTCTGCACTCACGGACACAGTCAGGCGGGGTTCCGCTCCAGGTCAGGTTGGGGAGGCAGGTCCGGGTGGTGGAGCCCTGAAGCAGGTAACCTTTCTGACAGCGGAAGAGCACCGTGCTTCCAACCTGTGGCAAGGACACAAGGTCCCATCACCCCTTTGCCTCCACCAATGCTTTATCCAAATGGTCAATGTCCCTTGACCATTTACTCTCCCAGGACCCAACTTGGACCCAGCTGTTGCCTCTGCCAGCAATGCCCTTCTGCTTCTCTGCCTGATTTAATCCCGTCTATTCTGTGAGGCGGCTGCCAGCGGGCAGCTTCCACAGGGCCTCCTCCAATCTGAGCCACGCTCTGATATTACACTCCATAGCAGGAGACAGAGTGCCTCGTTCAGAACCACAAGCTCCTGGATCTGAGTTCTGACTTCTCTGTTTACTCACGACCGGCTGCAAGGAACTCTGCAAAATTTATGTGTCAAGAAGAGATGGCCATCTCTGCCACAACTCCATTGGGAGGTGACACTCAAGTGTGATCGTGGATTTGACCATCATTTATTTTATAAAATATTAAGAATAGTGCAAAATAAAATGATCACTTGTCTATGAATTCCTTTATTCTATGAAACCATAAATTTATTAAAGACAAGGGATTTGTCTTCTCTGCAGATATGCCTCCTGCAGGATCTGGCGCTGTGCTTTGTCAGTATCTGAACAGAATTATCAGCTCCCTCCCTCTGCTCAGCTGTGTTCTCCACTTTGACCCCCCACTAGCCCCTCACTTTCCCCAACACGCCTGCAACTACCAGCCCCATTTCTCTTTCTCCAGTCCACTGGCACAACACGGTCACTTTCCTACCCTGCAATGTGGATCATACCACTGCCCAGGCTGAACGCTTGGGTGTCCCTGTCACCTACCCGGGCATCTGCAATGTGTACCTCTTAATTCCCACACCCTTCTTCCACACCCAGTCTGTCTGTCTCCTGGATTTCATCATTTAAGTCAGCAAATGGCACTTTTACTCATGCAGTTGTACAAATCAAACATCTCAAGTCATTTTGATTCCTTCAACTCCTCAGTGAGACCCATAGAGGAGCCCTCTTGGTTCCACCTACAAAATATAGCCCGACCTCTTTACTTCTCCCCGTCTCCACTGTCAATGCCACACTGAGCTTTCACTCAAGTCATGACAACAGTGTCTCAGTGCTTCTATTCCTCAAACCCGGTTATTCACCCTCTACTCAGCAGCCTGAGTGATATTTCAAGGGATAAATCAGATTAGTCACCTTCAAATGGCATTCAGAACAAAATCTGAAATATTGTATCAGGGCTTCAAGGCCCTGCATGGCCTGGCCCAGGGCTGCTTCTTTGTAAAAGCTATAATGTAGTATCTGAGTCCTACAGAAGGAGATACGGAACGTATATAAAGAAATTCTATAAGCTCACAAATGAAGAGCTGGAACTTTACAGACCCGGGCGGTAACCATTTGGGTGCACCTTCCCTTCTCCGTTCCTCAGCTCCCCTTGGTGGTAACTATTATCTTGAATTTTGTGTTTTTAATTTCCTTGCCTTGTTAAAAAATAATTCTATTGCATATGTGTATACATGTCACTTAATCATTTAATAGGTTTCTGCTGGTTTTAATCCTTCTAAAGATAGCGCCATACCACCTTTGTTGTTTGACAGTACGTTTCCCAGATTCGTTCATGTCCCAGAGCTGTTTTTACCGCTGGGTGATAATGCCATCGTGAGACTGCACCACAATTTTTCTCCTTTCTTGGTAACAAGTGCATGAGTATCTCTGGTGTTCTTTTCCAGGAGTGGGACTTCTAGGTCACAGTGTGTGTGTGTGT